AAAATTAAAATTAAGTAGAAATTTAATTAATAATAAAATAATTAAAAAAATATTTACCTGATGCATTTGTTGAGATTTCTAAATAAAATGTTTTAGTTTTACAATTTAAAGGTCTCATTAAAATATACTTACGAATATTTGCATTAGGTTCAGCTACACCTTTAATATCTGATAGAAATGGTATTTCAAAGGTAGATTGATTACCTTCTAATTCTCTTTGATCATTTTTTTGTTAAAATTTCTTAAAAATAAATCCCTTTTCTGTATCTTCAAATTAGTCAATTAGTAAATTGTAATGTTCACCACCTCATAGATATCTTAGCAGACAAATTCAAAAAAAAACTTTCTGAAGCAATCCTTCAGATTCATTTGAAAATATGGCGACATTATTAGATAAGATAATTTTTAATTCCTCATTTGTTAAACCTTTATATGGTTTTAGAGCACTTATTTCTAATCTTTTTATTTCTTTTATAGTACCATCAAGTGTGATATGAAGTTTTGGAAATTTCTTTTTATCTAAAAGATTATAATTCCATTGTGGTTTGGAATTTTTAAGATAACGGCTTATTAAGGCAACAGCATTTTTTAAGAAAGCTCTTGAGTATTTTTTGCCTTTTGTTATTCTCACGTCATATATAAATTTACACACTTCATTTTCTATTTGTTCATTAGAGAAAAGTGATTCTAAGGTGTAAGTATAATCCACATTTTTACGCTAAGTATTTAAAATATTGACACATTTTTTAATGCACTTAACTGTATTTAATAGTATATGACTTTGTTGAACCTTTGAAAGTTCCTCAGCTATAGGTTTGAAATAAGTTTAAACATTTATTAGTTATTAAAATTAATATAATTTATAGCTTTAATATGTAAATTACTTACAATTTTCATTAATGAAATTTAGTTTGCGAAAGTAAATTATTTGTAAAAAAAGAAAAAATATTGTGAGAAAAAATTGTTTGTAGGAAAAAATGTTATTTTTTTATAAAAAAAAAAAGTTTAAAAAAGTTAAAATAAATAGTTTAATCACAGAAAACCGGATAAATTACTTATCTGATACTTTGAGTCAAATAACTACTGCTATTTACAAGGTAGCTAATAATATTAGAAATTAAATTTAATTTTCCTAATATAATAGTTATTCGGCACTTCATGCTGAATAACTATTAATTATTTAAAAAATAAGATTTTGAAGAATTGTAATTATTAGTATGATTTTATCATTTAATATTTTATTATATATTTTGAAAATTTATATTATCATATTATAAAGAATTATTATATTAATTATTATTTTTAAGAATTGTTCTTTCAGATAGTCTTTAAATTTTATATAATATAAATATTGTATTTTATTTATTATAATATGTATTATTTTATAAATTGTAATTTTAGTATTTAAGAAATTTAAATTCAATAAAGATATGAATAACTTTATATTTTTATAATAATTAAAATATATGTTTATAGTTAATTTGTAATTTTATAATTATTAAATTACTTATTTATTAACATTATTTATTTAAATATTTACAACTTGTAAACATTTATACTTATATAAGAAAAATAAAAGATTACTTATAAATTTACTAAAAAGAAAGAAAAATCATAAACATTAAGAAAAAAAGCAGTATAAAAGGTATTATTACCTCACTGGTCAAAATAATCCAAATCACCTAAAATCAGATAGCTGATTTAGGCTAATTTTAATATTATTTATGGCTGATTTATTATATTTTCTGATTAGCACAAATAAGTGCTGATAGATGTCGATTGATTCTAATCAAACATGGCCATTTAGCATCAATTCAAACTTAAATTCAATCATAAATCAACCTAAAATCACCTTAATTCAGCAATAATTCAAATGCTGATAGATGCTGATTGACTCTAATTAGACATAGCTATTCAGATTAAATTCAACCATAAATCAGCCTAAAATTAACCTTAATTCAGCATCATTCAGCATTAATTCAAAACTTAAATAACATAAATTAGCTTAAAATTTATCTTATACAACATCATTCAGCATCAATACAGAACTTAAATAACTATAAATCAGCCTAAAATTGATTTCAATTTAACATTATTCAACATTAATTCAAAATTTAAATAACCATGAATCAGCCTAAAATTGGCCTTAATTTGATATCAATTCAGTCAAATAAGTATATAAAATTAATATATTATATTTATTAAATTTATTAAATATTATAATTTTATTAATCATAAAAACCTAATATAATTCATAAAAATATAATATAAATATTACTAAAATCCACTGATTAATTTCCTATCTAAAAAATATAAGTAAAAAATGGAAAACTATGTAAAATAATAAAAATATAAATCCATTTTCCTTCTAAAATTCCCTTAAATTATCCTAAATATTCATTATAGTAATATTGTCATTTTTGAAAAAAAGAATAAAAAATCAGAAAAATCACAAAAATTCAATTTAAATTTCATTCAATTTTGATGGTTAAAGGCATATTTCTATTATAAAAGTAAAAAAAAATCAGAAAAATTAACTAAAATTCAACTTAATTTTCGTTTAATTTTGATAGTTAGAGGCATGTTTCTATTATAAAAAGCAAAAAAAAATCAGAAAAATTGACTAAAATTCAACTTAAGTTTCGTCTAATTTGATAGTTGAAGTATGTTTCTATTATAAAAAGTAAAAAAATCAGAAAATTGATTAAATTTAACTTAAGTTTCGTCTGATTTTAATGGTTAGAGGCATATTTCTATTATAAAAAGTAAAAAAATCAGAAAAATTGATTACCGTAAACAGTAGACTATAGTATCTGAGTATTATACAAATTTAAGAATTTCAAAGGGTATTATACTATAGGGGATACTTTGAATAAAAGGGGAATACACAGAAATTTATTTTATTTTACTATATTTATAATCAGTTAAATATAAATTAAAAAAATATTAATGATCTAAAATGTGACTTAGATTAAAAGGATATAAAAATTGCAGATCATCATTTTTTAGATCAAAATCATGTTCTTACCTTTTATATAAAACTTAAATTTATAAATTTGTTTTTATTTCTTTGTTTTATTTATCTATACTTTTTAAGTATAGTAATATGGTTGTTCATCAAGGTAAAAACAAAAAAGCATAGGTAATAACAAAAAAAAGAAGGCAGTAGTGTGCTTATAAAAAGCTACTTATAGTAAGTCATGCTGAACAATGTGAAAGCAAACGTTTAGCAGCAAGAAGGTTTAATGTAAAAATAAAACAAATCTGTTATTAGATGAACCAAAAGTCTCAACTTGAAAGTGTAGCACCATATATATAAAAGTTACATAAAGGTAAAAGTGCAATACTTCTAAAATTTGAAGAAAATCTTTTTCTATAAATATCTGATTTATGCAAGGATGCAAAAGCTATTACACGAATATATTAATTAAAAGAGTCAAAATAATTGCTAAGGAAAAAAAATGGGTAGATCTATATCTAATTATTACTCAATTTAAATTTTCTAAAGCATGGTTAGAAGGGTTTATGAAAAGATATAATCTTGTTACAAGAAGAAAAACATATGTTACATAACATCTTTTTAATAATTTTTTGATAAAACAGCAAAATTTCTTAAGTTTTATTTTATATAGATGAATCCAACATGATTATCTGTTAAGATATATTGGCAATATGAATGAAACACCAGTTATATTTGATCTATTTTATTCAATTACTTTAGATTATTGTGGTACTTCAACTATTAATATACAAATTACTGGTCATGAAAAAACAAATTTTACTGTTATATTAGGATGTATAGCTAATGGTACAAAACTATCAGCTGTTTGTATTTTAAGCTTAAAAATATACCAAGAGAATCATTTCCTCAAGGAATTTATATATATGTAATAAAAAGAATGATGTAATGAATAAAAAATGCTCTGATGGATTGAGAATGTATAGACTCAAAGAAATGCATTTAACAATCCAAGGTTTTTATTAGTTTTAGATTCTTTTCGTGAACATCTTGTTAAATCAGTTAAAAATAGATTTAATAAGAAGCAAACTAATATTGCAGTCATTTCTGATAGTCTTACAAGTAAATTATAACCTTTATATGTAGCTATTAATAAAAGCTTTAAAGCAAAGTTGTATTACTATTATAATAAATAGATGAATTCTAAAATTTACGAATTAATACCTGCTAGAAGAATCAAACATCCTTCTTATACTATTGTAGCTAAATGGATAAAAAAAATCATTGGCTGGTATAGATATTTCTTTAATTTAAAAGTCATTTAAATATTGCAGAATTTCTGTTACTAGAAATGGAAATGAGAATAATTTGATGTTCAATTATGATAATTTACTTAATAATACAAAAAAAAAGAAAAGTGGGTAGGATAAAGTTCAGAATATTTATGATTTTAGTAGTAACAGTGACGATGATTTTTATAGAGATAGCAATAGTAGCGATAGTGATGATAGCAATAATAATAGTGATGATATTAATAGTGATGAGTCTGACATAAATAAATATGAAGAAAAGGAAGTTGCAGATTATGAGAACAAATATTAGTTGGTAGATAAATAATAATTTTGATCATGTTCTTAATAAATTTACTGCAAAAATAAATAATGCGTCATATACGTCATAACTGCGATAAATCAATAAACTTAATTTATTTATTGTATATACCGATCAATATAAATTTTTAAATATAATACCCCTTATAGTATAATATCCCTAAAGTGTAATACTCCCTGAATACCATACAAATTAAGTAAAAAAAATCTTGCACTCTTCATGTATAGTATTCAGACTTTTTACATCAAAATTATGAGTATGGTACTATACTATAGGGATACTATAGTTCACTATTTACAGTAATTCTTTCATCTAATTTTCTAGCTACTTAACCATTACCATATGTGACATTCAGATAGACAGTATCTTTAAAAATAAATCTAACTTTACCATTCTCTGATTCTTGAGCTTTTTTAGAAAGAATACTATGAATTTCTTGTAAAAGCCTACTCTTCTCTATCCTAAGATCACAGGCAAGAAAAGGAATTAAATGCAGATTATAATCACCAGATTAATTACAAAAGTTATAAAAACACTTTAAAACATCATTAGAATTAATTACATTACTATTTTAGAAACAATTTGCAACATTTTTGCAAGAAAGAAAAGTAAATTTAACACAAAATATTTTCATAAGTTCTAATAGTTTTATTCCTTTTAATCTATATTTTTTTACCTATGTTAAGACTGCAAGTAGGTTTCCATTTAATTTTTTCTTTAATATTAAAGTTAAATGCAATTAATAAAATTCAATAATTTGTTATTTAACAATCATTTAATATAAGATTTTTTAGAAAAATGCAATTGAAGATATAATGCATATTTTGTATTACAGTCATATTAGATAAAAAAGAAAATTTTATATAAAAAATGAAATATATTTTCATTTTATAAATAAAATAAAAAAAAATGTTAGTTAAAGTAGTTAATATATAAATATACAAATATTAGACGAATAAATAAATGAATAAACAAAATGGAATAAATATTTTTTTTTACATAATTTGATTATTACCTCTTTTTTTAACAAATTTATCATGTAATAACTCATCCCATTTCTTAATACTGCCTACCTTTTCTTTTTTTCCTTTTTCAACTTCTTCTTTCTTCTTTCAACTCATCCTTCTTATCAGTATAATCTTCCACTGCCCTTTTCTTCAATTCCTTCAACCTTTTTGCATTATTATCCTCCCATTTTACTAACCTTTGTTTAGCCTTTACATAATCATTTTTTGCATTATCTCTAATTTCTTCTATAGTAGTCATTTTATAAAAAAAAAAAAAAAAAAAAAAAAAAAATTTTATTTAAATGCATTAAGTTAGTGTTCCTAATGAGTTGAGTTGAGTTGAGTTTTAAGTCAAAATTATCTTACATACCTTTAATTTAAAGTACTTATTTATTATGTGTAACTAAAATTTACAATTATGCACAATTATGCAAGTCAAATATGCGAGTTTATGCGAGTCATTTTTGGAACTCTACGTTAAGTAATACAAAAAAAATATGATATTACATTTTAAATGTCATTAATCAATAGAATAGTTAAATTATGATATGCCTTATAGAATTAAACTGATAAGTTTTTATTAGTGTATACTTTCAGATAAGACTATTTCAAATAAGAAAAGCAATTACACAATTTATCAAAAAATTTTTTATACAGTTTAAAATATGATTGACAAGGATCTTTATTATATATATTATATTGAATCATGAATAAAATTTATTGAGCAAACTTAAAGTATTCATGCTGCTTTACAATATATTTATTTAATCCCTATTAATCCTGCATCTTTACATTTCTATTTATTTATTAAAAATATATCAGAAATAAAGCATTGTGAAGAATGCTAAACTACTAAATTAATCAAATTTTGTTTATTAAAGGGAGAAAAATAGAAAAAAGCTGAGAATAATAATCTAGTGAAGATAACATAAAAAGAAGATATTATTTTATGTAATATTTATTATATGAGTTTTGTAGAAAATCTATTAAAAAAAGGTTCTAAATGAATAAAAACTATAAACAAAGATATTATACATAAGAAGAAGGTAAGTATGAAAATTGATCTTACTAAAGCCATTAAAGTGATGGCAAATATCTTTTATGAGAGAGAGTATTTGAGAAAAGAAGATTCTATATATGAATTTGATGAAATGCTAAGATTACTTCAGGGAATTGAATCAAGCTTAAAGGATTTTTTTGAACAATTTTATTTAGCAACTTGGTCACTTGAATGTAACGAACAAATAATAGATTATATAAAAAATTTAATGATATTCATTTGTTACCTCCTTGTTTCATTAAATCATACGAAAATTAATTTTTTTAAATTTGATATTTATTCTATTTAGATTTAGTAGGTATAAGTAATGAAGGCTTAAATACAATAGCAAATCTTGAAGCAACTATTACATTAAGATCAGTAGATTGTAAGAAAAAAAATTTCAAATTCGCATGAAAAATACGTAGAAAATGCTTTTGTAAAATATTCAGATTAGACTTTTATATTAAATATTGATGATTATCATAATATTCATGTTTAACAGCAATTCAACACAACTAGTATACCTTAGGCAGCATTAGAGTTCCGAATGAGTCGAGTCGAATCGAGTTTAAAGACCAACTCTATTCGACTCATTTTTTTTGAGTCAAATTTATTTTATAAAATCTTTCAATTTGATTTGATTTGAGTTATATAAATTTTAAACTCGACTCAATTT